GATCGAGTTCTAGGTCAAACTGGTTTGTTCGACTTTCAAGAAATTCGAGTTCTAGTGAGTTCGAGAACCGAGGTACCACTGTATTATAAAAATTAACTCAAATTATATATATTTTTTTCTGTTGCCAGCACCTCTGCTTGACAAATTGTCTCAGTAGTATTCCAATAGTCGATGCAAAATTCATTGTGGGAAATTTAGGGGCAATTTAATTGTGCCCTCGTCCAAGTCAGTGGTGGCATATGAAAGAACAGCCACAGATCTGGTGAACCTGATCACATTAAGACAAGTCACACCAAGTACTCCAGAGGCGACAGATAAATAGCCTAACCCCAAGCTTTGCTCTTGGCTGTGAACATATGTATGTGTGTGTGTATGTCTGAAAAGGAGAGTGATTAACCACATGTAATCATTCAAAATGTGCGTTCAGCCATCTTGTATGACAAAATCATTTGTTCAGCAGTAAATCCTGCTGTATTGTGGATGATGAATTTGTATTCTTTGAAAGTGGCTGTAGACTAAATCAAAATCAACATTTTTGTAGCAATACAACGTCAAAGAAGTGGTGGTCACCACAGTGATCACCATTCTGGTGGACCGTCAGTGCAGGGTCCGGACCCCTCGCAACCCAGAATGGGATGAATGGTTTCAGATGAGTGGTTGAAAATGAATGGTTGGATGGATATATGACATATCTTATGAGTCTCATGAGAATTGCCTGGTAATCGCCTCAACTGAATGTGCCAAACTCATTAACTTGTTGATTAAGTCGGGAGTAGTGATGGCCAAAACGACAACTCATGAACTATTTGCTGTATTTTCTGACCCCACAAGATAGTGCTCTTGGTTTACTTTGGGGCTTTGAGTCCTTTTTTGAACAGAGAGCACTATCTAGTGGGGTCAGAAAATACAGCAAATGGTTTATGAAGCATAGTTTTGGTCATCATTAGTTGGGAGTACTGAGCCACAGCCACTATGCAGCCAGGCATGCACACAGTACTAGTACAACAGATTGTGGTATGCGGAGAGGCAATGAAGGCAACAGAGCTAGAGACAGTCTACAAAAATCAAACGTAAGTGAATTTTAAAAAGGTATATATATAATTTTTATATGATATATGATAAAAATTATATGATAATTTTTCAGATACTTTTAGATATTTAGAATCTAAGACTTTGACCTGTGCAATCTATGTTTGTACAAAAAGTTTGATTCTTTTGGATTTGAAAATTCAGATTCTGATTTACTGAAAAACAAACAGTTCAAAACTACAGTCTGGTCACAAATCGGACATCACTGTCATTCATTTGCATACGTATTTTTGCATGCAAGTATTATTTCTTGCTAAGACCATATTGTGTTGTAGTTTGCATAGTGCTTTTCTCTCCGACTGACGATCGATTCTGCATTGTACTGGACTTGAGTATTACTATATCAGTCACGTTAGAACAGATTTGCGGTGTGATATGCATTGACATGGACTGACATGGACTGACAGTGATTCCATTGCATGTGTGGACTAGGTTTAGCAGCTCTTACTGCCTGCACATGCTAGTTGGAAGGCCATGCTTCCTATTTGTGAAGTCAGAATTATGATTATGTTATATTTAGATGTTTTATTATCAGAGAGAAATGAAAAAATGGCACCCACGAAATTGTAGCTAACTGGAGCTAATGTAAAGTTGATCATTTTGTGCCGCACTATCAGTCCATTTGCTATGGATAGAATGATAAACGGCATTGTTCTATATCAAGTAAAGTGTGCACAAATTACAGATGTACACAAGCAGTGGCTCATGATAGTTGTAAAAATAAACAATTAAATACCATCCACAACTTAAAGTTGAAGGTCATCACAACTTGGCAATTGGGGTATCAAAATTATTTCAGAATTTCCCATTCAAAAGTACGAGTTTGGGGGGCGGAGGGTGTGGGAGCAGTAAGAATTAATGGGGGTGGGGGAGTGACGGGGCTGTCCGGGGAATACAATGCTGGCATTCCAACATCCTTTCTAGTTAAATAAAGAAATTTAAGGCTGTTAGCCACTCCATGGCATATCCCGGCATTGTGCCCTTTAACGTCTAAGAAACCCAGACCAGCATAAGCAGTTGGAAGATGGATGGATGGATGGATGAATGGATGGATGGATGGGTGTTTGCCGTAACTTATGCACAATTAAATTTGTTCTTTAACCTCTATGCCACTTGTCCTAAAACTCTTATTGGGTTAATTGTGATTGCTGAAAAAACCTTTTCATTCATCCCTCCATACTTCCACTCTCATGGTTTTTAGGGCTGCAAAAATCAAACTTTGTATATACAACCATGGAAAAAATTAAGAGACCCCTCTATATTTTTAAACAAATCTACATTTTTAAATCCTGGTTTAATCATGATTCTGCTGGCAGAGGCTGTGCAGAGCAGCAGGCTGCTTCCAGGTTAATTTCTAATACAGCAGTACAGAAGAACAAGGTGAAGCAGGAGACACTGGGAATGATCCGAAACCAGCCAGGTAGAGGGAAGAAGCGACTTTCTAATGCCAGAGATGACTGTTAATTTATCCGAGAATTTCTCATGAATCGGAGAATGACATCAAGTGACCTTCAAAAGGAATGGGAAACATTAAGTGCAGGTGTGAATTGCACTGCTAGGACAGTTCATATCAGGCTCCTAGAAGCAGGACTGAAGTCCCATAAAGCAAAGAACAAGCTCTTCATTAATAAGAAACTGGGAAGAACCAGGCTGCAGTTTGAAAAAAAAAGTACATTATTCACAGACACACACCCTTAAATTCAAGAAATGAGTGAAATAAAAAATTGTGCTGTGGTCTCTTAATTTTTTCCACGGCTGTAGACTCAGCAGCGGATTAAAAGCATTAAACAACCACTCAACTGCTGAAGCAAAGCATAAATATTTATCATTCCTTTCTTTCTCAGTGTCTTTTGTTCTACTTTTATGCACGCAGCAATCCCGCATTTTCTTCATGAAATGTCGTTTCTAGTTTGACAGTAACTCTGGTCCCTTGAATTCATTTCCGTGTGACCTGATAAGAACATGCTGATCGTCCAGTGTGTGTGACATGGTGTACCAGGAGATGATGCCTGTGGCATGCTCCATACATGACTCTGCTCATGCTCCTGACATGACTCTGCTCATGCTCTTGAAACAACTCTGTTTATGTTCCCATTATGATTCTGCTTACATTCATGATTCTGATATGACTCTGTGTACACTCATGCTCCAGAAATGACTCTGCTCACACATGCTCTTTATCTGACTGCTCACATTCATGCCCTTGACCTGTTTCTGCTGATGCTCATGTTCCAGAAATGACTCTGCTGACCATCATGTTTCTGACATGACTGCTGACGATCATGTTCCTGACATGACTCTGCTGACGATCATGTTCCTGACATGACTCTGCTCATACTCATGCTCCCCCAGCTGGTACCATGGCTGCATGACGCGTCAGGAGGCTGAGGCCCAGCTGCAGACCTGCAGGGAGGCCAGTTTCCTTGTAAGAAACAGCGAGTCGGGCACCAGCAAGTACTCTATCGCCCTCAAGTGAGTGACTCTGCTACTGCTCTGTTACATAGTTCTTATCTTCATAGTACCCTTTATCAACATGCCTATCCTCGAAGATTCTTTGTCTTGCATTGATGACTGTTAGTGTTATTGCATAAGATTTTTCCGTATTGTGTGATGTGTTTAAGGGGCCTCAAAGTTGTATAAAATCATCAGGATTGGAAAGCGCCTCAAATGATTCCTTCATTGTGACTATCCATGTTCCCAGAATTCCTCTTTGTGGCTTCACTGATTCTCTGCTGGCCCTTAAATTCTTCTATGTGACCTCAGCTGTCCTGTGTTAGGCCTCAGAATTCCTATCTGTGGCTCCACTGTCTCTGCGCCTGGCCCTAAAATTCCTCTCTGTGGTCCACCAGTACTGTATCCGGCCTTAACCCTCCTCTCTGAAGCCCCAGCCCCTCTCTCTCTCTCACTCTCTCCTAATGCTCTTTTTTCTGGGTCTACTTGTCCCACAGGACAAGTCAGGGCTGTGTGCACATCATTGTGGCTCAAACCAAGGAGAGTGGATACACCCTGGACCAGAGCAGCTGTGTGTTTCCCAGCATTCCTGAGATGGTCCACCACTACTGCACCCAGCAGCTGCCCTTCACAGGGGCCGAGCACATGAACCTGCTGCACCCGGTTCCCCGTCTGCACTAACGTACCTGCAGAACCAGCTGGATCTCACAAAAGCAGCTGCACTTACTATCTCCCTGTCTGTCTCTGTAGGTTGAATGCTGACTCTAGGTGCAAGACTGTGGTTTTTATCTTTTAGACCCACTCTGTATGTCCTTCATACACTGACCCCACCCACCATCTCAGATACCTCTTTTCCACTAGTGTCATGCCATTTCTGGTGTGGGTGCTAACACTGAACTAGTTTTCAGGTGGTGCTCAAGTGGCATGACCTGAGAACCGGGCGTGTTTCCACTAGTTAAGAACAACATTTGTAACAGATGGCGATTTCTCACACAACAATGGGCACGTAACAGTTTTGAGTTTGTTTAATAATGTTTTTCGATGGAGAATGTTTATGGTAATGCTAACTTAAGTGATACTTAAGTTAGCAGTAATTAAAACATTCTTTTTACAGAACATTACCTAGCTACATTACAAGCCATTACTAATTAATATTTATAACTAATTATTTGCTGGATTTTTGCTGCGTAGATTTTGCAGTTGTACAGAAGACGGACATCACCCATCATCCAGATATCAACGAACAAGCCATTGATGGGACACAGTAGTCCGTGGATTCAGTCGGACACTGTTCATCCAAAACATCACTTTGCCACAGTCATTTGACTACATATATTACTGTCTCAAACATATAGCAGGGAGAGCAAACACCAGTTTTTGTTTGTGTGCACCTGCAAGGAAAAGTGTTACATTTGCGTGTTGGAGGCTGTCTGCCTACTGTGGGGCATTTAAATATCTTCTATCCCATGCTGCCTTGTGAGAGTTCTTTTTTGTAATTTTGTCTTCTTTAGTTTTTTTAATTTGCTAATAATTTGCTCCGTACTACAAATGTCACCCACTTTCTCCAGCTCTACTTTAATTTCTGCATGTTTTCAGCAAACACTAAAGTCAAACAAAACACCAAACATTGGTGAAGTTTACAGTGCATCGTAGCCCCTCCTCACACATGCCAACATCGCGGGTTCGCAATTTCAAACCGGCAATTCTGTGGTGGTGTGCCAGAGATTTTCAGGCACGGCACCAGATAATTGGAAGAGAAAAGCTTCGAATGAGTTACAAATTAGGTACCGGCTAGGCAATGCATTAATGGAAAAGGGCTAAGACAGTGGCTTAGCCCCCTAAGAGCTCCACCCCCTTTAATATGGGACCAGAGAGGAAGAGAAATACAGATGGGAAGTTTGCCTTAAATCTGGTTCTGACTAATCATGTGGAATGTGGAAAACATGTCATTGTTCTCTAGCCCCATGTAAGTGTGTCAGTTTAATATGTTCACAAGGTATTTTCAGGCCATATGCAAGGGACCAGCTCGGTCTTGCTGCTAGTGTCCCCTTTTTGGACTTCACTCGTTCTCTTATTTCTCATCCATCTCCCTTCACTAAGAGCTCAGAAAGCATTTTAATGGGAATTCTATATTTCAGAAATGTATGTTAGGGATTAAAATACAATAAATTTCACTTTATAATGTGCAAAATACCTGATATTCATAGCATCCTAAACATGTATTTTTTAATGAATTTTAGGAATGAAACGTGTTAATGAATACTTCTGACCATCTAATGAGTGAGACAGGGTCTGTATGCCACAACAATGCACGTTGGTGTATTTGTTTTAAAATGAGTTCAATCTGTGCTTCTCAGTTAAACACATAATTCTTCTCATCATAACAATACAAACATCTGCAAACATACCAGGTGCATCATGAAATTATTAAATAGACATGACTTTTGATTTTGTGTGTACATTCCTCATAAGGGTATAGGCTTTAAATCTGTGACTGTAATGAGCAGAATTCAATAGGTACACATAAGGTGCAACTATAAGTACTGTCTGTCCTTAAGTCAAAATAAGTTTTTCTGCTAGCCTGTTAATGTCCGTAGGTGTGACAGTGCTATTATTCTGTGCATACCATAGTCACTCTTCAATCAGTTGTTTCATTTGTAATTGTGTTCCAGTCAGTCATAGTGAGTGGTACTGTTTTCAGTCAGTCACCCTGTCTGCTGTAGTGTCTTCAGCCAGTCACTCTGTCTGTTGTAGTGTTTTCAGTCACGCAGTTCGTCAGTAATGGCCAGTGGCCCTTACAGGAAGGTAGAAGCACTTGGGGAGGTCCCAGCTGTTCAATAATTCACAGATGCAGCACTAGGACCATCTGCACAGCAATGGATAGAGAAGCAAAGGAGAGAGTCAGGCTTCATTGTCTCACATCCTTTGCTCTTGCTCACTCTCCTTCAGCTTTCTTTCAGAGTAGCTGCTATTTACACCAGCCCCCCATATCCTTTGATGCCCATCTGTATCACACAGTATTTATAATACACTCTTCTTCCTTTGTTTCTCATATATTAATCATTCAAGTATCTAATTGACCATGTAGCTTCATTTAATACACAGTACTTAAACCTTTGCCTTTGAAGCCCCCTGTCAAACGGTCCCACCACCAGACAGACTCACAGGAGTGCCTTATCATCTTTTCTGTTTAGCTTTTCAGTTAGAAAGTGGAATTGGGGGACAGTGTGACTGAAACAGGCAGCAAAAAGACCAAATTAAAGGGATACATTACACAGAAGGGCAAGCTCTTAGATGGCTCTGATTGTGGCACGATTATTTGTGCTGAACTACCTTAGAAGCTGGTGTAAAAAATTACAAAGATCCTGATGCAGTTTATCGCTGATGGTGTGATACACACTGGGTCCACGTACAACAGTGACAGTCTTTGATCTTGGTGATGAATTAGGAGTTTGCCAGTCCGCCAACACTCTTAAAAGCACAGCTGGGATAGCTGCACACCTCTACCCCTCCTCTACCTAAACAAATAATTAAATGATTGTTTTGTTGTCGTTGTGAGAAAATCTCACTAAATCAGAAATAAACTTCTAATAATCAGTGTATAAATTTTAAATATTTTGCCTTTATTCCAAAATGTTCTCAATTTTTTATATTAATATATTTCATCAAGAGTCACTTAGTGCGATTTAGTCACAATGATGATAGGCTTTGTAAAAAAGTGCTAACCTCTACAGTGAATACCAATAATAGCACTCCGTACCACCACCACCTCTGTCGCGTAGCGTAGCCAGCGTACTCCGACTTGCGCTTGATTTATTTCAGGAAATTTGGCCAAAGGTACGGGAAAACAGGGTCCTGGCCACAGCGAGCTTTAGTGGGTTCCTATAAATAAGCCGACACGAACTCACTATCGATCATCCTGGAGAGCATCCCTTCACACATATACAGCACTGCGAATGGGCTTTCCCCAGTGCAGCGATGGGTCCGTGGATGCTGATGTACCTTCTCGTCATTGCGAAAAGTGAGTAACCTCTCGATCGTTTGGATTAAAGGGAATTTGTTGACAATATCAGAAGAGGTATTTATTTGTTTCGCCTATCGCTCCGTGGGCTCTAGGCTTGCTGCCAAGGTTGGTAATAGGGGCAGATAGGTAAATGGACAGGTACGCAGACCAGAAGAGCAAGAAGATACCTTTATGAACGTTTTGTGGCCGTTTTATGATGAAAACGGTAATTATGTACAGATAAAACTAAACGCGAAGCACCCCGGGCTGTGGAGCGTTGTATCATTGCGTGCGGATTTATTGGAGTACAGCCTTGCTCGTCGTTACACTGGTTAATTAGTGCACGTTTTGATGTTTATATAACCTGCTTAATGTATTTGTTATTACAGCAGTTGTAAAGCAAAACGTATAGCCTATATTTTTTCTTCAGATGAAACAGAATTATTACTAGTGTAAATCTCACTTAGTAGTCACGCTGTGCTGTATATAAAGGGGATAAAGGTGAGTGTTAAATTTACAGTTCTATAGCTTAATTATACACAGAACGCAGTATGGTTTCGTTAGACGTTTAAACTGGAGGGTTGTACTAGGCCTATGTCAATTCAAATAAATGCGGCCAGATTCTTTGACCGTTTTTCTCTGTTTTCTCCATATCAGTACCTTAATCCACAAACACACACACACACACACACACGAAAACCCTCAATCGCAAAAAAGATGAAAGCGCACATTTACGGATACAAGCAAACGACTTCCCCGGCTCATGGGCGCCGGTCATGTTTTAATGCGGTTTAATGAAGCGTCTCCCTTTTAAAAGAACGATTTATTACCGCACGTACTGCACATGAATTAGCGGAATCAGCTGGCAGGTCGGCCGTCCGTCAGTCGTGGACAGGGGGTCGCTTCTACCTCTAATAGCTTTACCGTTGTCCGGCTGATAGCCCCACGGTATTAAGGCTGACACCCGATGGATGGGGAAATGATTCATAGTGTAAATGATAACGGGTAAAACAAAAACACGAAATAACTACAGTAATAACTGGTCGGCACTGACAATATTTGCTTCAAGTTGTGTTTCGGTAAAGCCAAATTATTGTGTACCCAATACAGAGTATAACCACCCTACGATAGATCATGATATCAGTACTACCGATCTGAAATAAATTTTAGTTGGATTTCTTTTCAGTTTTATTTTCCTGTGTCAAATACCTGCAGTACCAAGCAAGACTTATGTGAAGAACAATTACCTAGCTATGACCCTTTAAATCTCTGTGGCTGACTGGAAGCTGTGTCTTAAAGTGGCCTGGGGAAATTTTACTAGCTGTGTGCCGTGCAAATACTATGAGGGCCTTCTCAATATGTTCCCATGCATGGCTACTAGGGTTATGTTGGTAGGGCCCTGCAACAAATTGCTCCAAAATGTCAGGGCACTTCTTCCATCCACAAGCCTTTCTCTGTCAAGCCGTGCATGGTCATGGCTCCCTTTTTGATTAATTATGCCTGATTTGTCCAAATTGGCCACCACTGATTTTCTGTCCGTTTTGTCATTTGTTGTATTATTTAGAGATGCACTGATCCATACCTATTTGACGGCCATGCGTGACCAAGATCAAAGTAAAATTCGATCAAACACTCCATGTTTTCCTATCAATTATGTTCTTTACACTGACTGATTACTCATATTTCCAGTTCATATTCACAACAGTTTTGCCTTATGTCGCAAAAGTTTTGTTATAACGCAAAGGTTTTGGGTTATATCGCAAAAGTTTTGGGTTTTAACGCAAAGGTTTTGGGTTATATCGCAAAAGTTTTGGGTTATAACGCAAAGGTTTTGGGTTATATCGCAAAAGTTTTGGGTTATAACGCAAAGGTTTTGGGTTATAACGCAAAACATTACTTTTTTTTTTTTCTTCTGCCATTTTTTTTTCTCCTCCTTTGTCCCCATAGTACGGTACGGAGCCCCTAAGGGGACAAAGGAGGAGAAAAAAAAATGGCATAAAAATAAAAATAAATAATACCACTATAGTAACATAAATAATTAAGAAATACACTCATAAAATAATAATAATAATACTTTTTGCCCCTCCTGGAGCCGACACCTTATCGTGGTGGAGGGGTTTGCGTGTTCCAGTGATCCCAGGAGCTAAGTTGCCCGGGGCTTTATGCCCCTGGTAGGGTCACCCAAGGCAAACAGGTCCTGGGTGAGGAACCAGACGAAGTGCGGCTCAAATGACCCCTTATGAAGAAAAACAATATGGAAAAATGTTTTCCCTTGCCCCCCCCCTAGAGCCAGGCCTGGCGGTGAGGCTCGATGGTGAGCACCTGGTGGCCAGGCCTATACCCATGGGGCCTGGTCGGGTACAGCCCGAACAAGGCACGTGGGTCCCCCCTCCAATGGGCTCACCACCCATAGGAGGGGCCATAGGGGTTGGGTGCCTTGTGAGCTGGGCAGTGGCCAAAGGCGGGGACCTTGGTGGTCCGATCCTCGGCTGCAGAAGCTAGCTCTTGGGACATGGAATGTCACATCTCTGATGGGGAAGGAGCCTGAGCTGGTGCGCGAGGTTGTGAAGTTCTGGCTCGACATAGTCGGGCTCACCTCGACGCACGGCTTGGGCTCTGGAACCAGTCTCCTTGAAGGGAGTTGGACCCTCTTCCACTCTGGAGTTGCCTGCGGGGAGAGGCGCCGAGCGGGGGTGGGTGTACTTATTGCCCCCTGGCTGGGCGCCTGTACATTGGGGTTTACTGCAGTGGACGAGAGGGTAGCCTCACTTCGCCTTCGGGTGGGGGGACGGGTTCTGACTGTTGTTTGTGCTCATGCGCTGAGCGGCAGTTCAGAGTACCCACCCTTTTTAGAGTCCCTGGAAGGGGTGTTGGAGAGCACTCATTCTGGGGACTCTCTTGTTCTGCTGGGGAACTTCAATGCTCACGTGGGCAATGACAGTGAGAGCTGGAGTGGCGTGATTGGGAGGAATGGCCCCCCTGATCTGAACCCGAGTGGTGTTCTGTTGTTGGACTTCTGTGCTCGTCACGGATTGTCCATAATGAACACCATGTTCAGGCATAAGGGTGTTCATATGTGCACTTGGCACCAGGACACCCTAGGTCGCAGTTATAGTCGTGTCATTGGACTTGCTGTCGCATGTCTTGGACACTCGTGTGAAGAGAGGGGCGGAGCTGTCAACTGATCACTACCTGGTGGTGGGTTGGCTCCGCTGGTGGGGGAGGAAGCTGGCCAGGCCTGGCAGACCCAAGCGTATAGTGCGGGTCTACTGGGAACGTCTGGCAGAATCCCCTGTCAGGAGGAGTTTCAACTCCTACTTCCGGCAGAACTTCTCCCATGTCCCGGGGGAGGAGGGGGACATTGAGTCCGAATGGGCCATGTTCCGCGCCTCCATTGTGGAGGCGGCTGACCGGAGCTGTGGCCGTAAGGTGGCAGTTTTGCTCTTACGTAAATGAGTGAATTGATTTTCAGATTTAGTTTAAGAACTTGGTTGTTGCTTCAAGTTTGTCCCTAATACTGCCTACTTGTTGTTATGCCCTCAAATTTTTATCAACTTACCATAATCAGTTATCTGCCCTTTCCCAAAATATCCACACCCTCCCCATGCTGTAATGTAGACCTCCTGAGCTTAGAGGATCTTCAGTGGGTGTAATGCAGTAAGACATCAGTACGTGTCCACTTTGTGATTGTAGTAGATCTGTACTGGGTGAAGTTAAGGGCAGAGCATTAGATGCAGTAAGGCTTAAACAAGCAGCACACATTAAATATTAATAGTTTTTAATGTCACATCTCTGGCTAATAATTTTCTCATACAGCCACTAATGGCTGCCACTAATTTAGGCACCTTGCAGATGATGTAGGACAATTATTTATGAAGCTTCATAAAGCCAGAGCCCCTAAATGCTTCAAGTCTTCAGCGCGTCTTTAAGTTATGAGCTTGTCCAGACCTATTACACTCTTAAAAATCGTTGGCTCAACTGAAAAAAACTATGTTAACAATTTGCATGCTTTTTAAGTTTTGCTGGTTTCAATTATTGAGTAAACTATATGAGTATTTTAAAGTTAGACTAACTTAAATATTTAAGTACAGCCAAAATGATTTGCCTTTACTTCTTCAAATCTAATTAAGTTAAAACAACTTATATCACTACAGCTTATGAATGGACATAACTCATTATTTGAACTGTTTTTCCGTCTTTATTTTATTTCCCTCTTACAGTCGCTCTCTGCCAAAGCAGGCGATGTACAGTAGTTCTAGGACCAGAAAATGTGGGATTTTATGATCATGAAAACAGACACGGCAGCTGAATATTAATAACTAGTTATGTAGCTCGCGGGGAAGAACGAAGTCTTTTTATGGAGTTCTTAATAAGAGTAACACAAAACTCAATAAACCCCAAACAACTGAGAAACACGGGGAGGTCTGACGCTGGTCAGTAAAGTACACACACGGTGAGTAATTTGTACAACCCTAAAGACATGTGAGGATCAGTCAGCATTCACGTAAGATATGGCCAAACGCACACGACAATTAGGAAATACAGCAAATATTAACATTATCAAAAGGGGGCTATATACAATGTCTCAGCATGCTCAGCATAACTCGATCACTGACGATACAATATTATCGGGCTGGATATGATGTACGATACTGAAACAATTCTTACATCGCTAGTCAGTTAGATTAAGATAAGGCTTTTTCTTACTTTAAATTCTGTACGGAAATTATAAGTCAATGGAAAAGAGAAAATACCGAAAGTACTGTATCAAAAGTACGGTACCTGGTGCCCAGGGGCGGATTAACGCACAGGCTAGATATGGCTTAAGCCTAGGGGCCCCACGTGTGCCAGCCTGCAAGGGGGCCCCCATTGGCGCGGAGGGGGGTGGGGTTGGGGGCCCCACAGACTACTGTAGCCTAGGGGCCTCTGTACACCTTAATCCGCCCCTGCTGGTGCCGTAGAAAAGCGCCCAAAGCTTCTGCGCAGATGAAACTCACTTCAGAAGTTGCAGTAACTTAGAATTTTTCAGTTGTTAAGAGAGCGCAAAAATATTTGTTCAAAATATGTAAATAACTAAAATGAAAGCGTGTTCTTTAGTTTTCTATTTTGACCAACTTATAAAAACAAGTTAACTAAGGTGGGAAGATGTAACAGATGTAAAGAGAAACATCTTTATTTTAAGTGTTACTTTCTATCCCCTAGAACCATTTTTAGAGTGACTGTATGCAGATTCCCATAGAGAGGTCAGGATTAATGGCAGAGACAAGATCAAATGACCATCAGTGATTTTATGTTTAGATTATGTGAGAGAGTGGTAGGGGGGTTATATCATGTGGCAAAGGTCCTTGTTGATCCAGACCCTGAAACCATCAGTTAGGGTTGTCAAATGCTGGACCTTAGTAGGTGAGCTGGTGCAGATAGAAAAGATGGCCAGAAAGTGAGAGAGATTCTCACTTGATTATCCACACTTTATTGGGTTTAGACCGGGGGTTGTGCTCACCAAGGTTGATGTTGCTTAATTCCAGGATTTATTCAGAGTTTAGAATATTGATGTAAAAATCTAGTGTTTTAAAAAGTATGAATAGCCTAGTTTTGCTCCTTATAAATAGATTTAAACACATACATTTGCTGTGCTTGTGTTGGTGCTACCCAACCATGCTCAATCTGTAACTTATGTACTACTTTTATATGAAGCAATAGGAATATGTTGTTTAGTACCTGTCCCTCTGTACTCAGGAAGCCTTGCAGCAGACACAGAAGAGCGGTTGGTCGAGCATCTCCTTAATCCTGCCCATTACAACAAACTGATTCGCCCGGCAACCAATAGGTCAGAACTGGTAACGGTGCAGCTGACGGTGTCCCTGGCACAGCTAATCAGTGTGGTGAGTGAGTGGGTAATTCACCCTGTTTGTGTGCTGCGTGACAAGCTGCTTTGGTTGCTCTCTGCTGCCCTCTAGGGTAAATATCAGGCTACTGCAGCAATGTAACATTCTAGACTTTCCTCTGTGACTTTCTACTGTGAGGTAGTTTATGATGTGTTTTATCACATTCTCCACCTCTCCCATTGAGGTTTAGTTGTCTGTGTTAACCTGGTGCAATCTTTGATTGTCATTTGTTGTTTACCCTCATTACAGCATGAACGGGAGCAGATCATGACTACAAATGTCTGGTTAACACAGGCGAGTATTAGGTTACTTCTCTTTCCCAGTAAACTGCTATCTTGGGAACCCATTGTACAATAATTCTGCATGATGTGTCCCACAGCACCACCTAGTGCCCACACCAAGTTAGAGCTGCTCTTTGCGCTCCAGCCTATAGGCAGGCTCTTCCTCCCTGTCACAGCTCAGACTCTTGGCACGTGCTGCTAGGTGTGTCACAGTGTTGTAGTCATGTGACCATCCGCATAACTAAATAGCAGCAGAAATGGCTGCTGTTTGCCTGTATGCTGGATAATGGAGCAGGGAGGGAGAACAAGGCCCAAACAGAGCCCTGGCTTTGTGTGCAGCCTCATAGCAGCTGTTTTTGTAGCAGTGGACTCTTACAGTACAAGCCTTCTGTTTGAAATAAACTAAATATTTTCTTCTGCTTCAAGCGACTGCTTAATAAGATTCTCATGAGTGCCTTTTTTCGGGCTTCCTCCTCGTTATTCTGCCTTGTTCACCCCAGGAAGAGCTTGAGCTAATTAATCAGTACAGAGCTATGCAACCACAACACCATAAGCACATTTCACCCACTATGTTCGCCTCTAGCTCTTCGGTAACTGTCGCACAGCTCGCTGCATACCCACATTCCCCGCTGTGGCAACACCCAGCAGCCTGTCGTTCGCTAACATTCAGTCACTCTGCAGGAGTGGCAAGACTACAGGCTGACATGGAACCCAGAGGAATATGATGGGATGCTGAAGGTCAGGCTGCCCTCTAAACACATCTGGCTGCCCGATGTGGTTCTCTACAACAAGTGAGTGCTCTGTGTGGACTCCCTGTGTGAGGGATTCCCTCAAAGTGGCGACACAGTCCCCACTCACCTGTGTGGACTCCCTGTGTGAGGGATTCCCTCTATCTATCTATCTATCTATCTGTCTGTCTGTCTGTCTGTCTGTCTGTCTGTCTGTCTATCTATCTATCATCAGCAATGATATTCCACTATTTTGCTGGGGAGGGTCCCCACAGTTACATTTGCTCAATCACCGACCACACTATTACGGTATTATCCAGCCATTCTAATTTTCGCTCAAGTCTGCAACAAAGACACTGCATATTGTTTGCCCTGGTGTGACCAAGCCTTAAGGATTAAGGGAAAAATGCACATTTAAGGAGCCCTGAAACTGATTGTAGACCTTAATAGAAACACATGGTACTGGAGGGTATAATGGGGACTGTAGTACAAGACGAAGCGCATGTTGGAGGTTTGCTTTGCATAAGGCTGATTTTAAGACTTTTGTTGCTCTCGAGGTAGATATTTGGGTGTGGCTATTTATGGGGTTAAAGGTAGGCTGAAACCAGCCAGCAGGGTAACTCATTGTTAAAGGAATGCTGCCTAACAAGCTCTGGGTAGTAACGATGAAGGTGGTGAATGATATTGACAGGCCTTGCAGCATCCTTTGTAATATAAAGAGGCTTTTCTGGCAGGTATTTAGGTGTTACTGTAAAGGCAGTGTAAGGTAATACCGCGCATTAGGCCTGTAGGTGACTGAAAAGGAACCGGCAGCGTCGCTTCCAGCCTGTCAGGCTGACACCTGTCATCCTACCTGCCTCGTTTCACCATGCTGACATCACCCGTCTGCCGCGCCCGGGGGCCGTGACCTGCCATCCTTGACCCACTTATCGGGAGAGGGGGGCAGATTCAATATTGACTCGAAGACTGTGTTTGCTATGTATCTGGCCACGGGGGTGTGTGTTGCCTGAAGGGGTACAGTGGATATGGTCCCTTATCCCCATGAGCATCTGACCACTCTGACGCAAGCCGCGGACGTGGCGTCTGGCCCCGCCCCTTCGCTGCAGACTAATCGGCACATCTCTGTCACTTTAGCTCCCCTGTGTATCCCAGGCGTCCTTCCTGCCCTACTTCAGCTGTGTATGCCTGTCTGAGCCACAGCACTGCCCATGTGCCCCCACCCAAGTCAGCAGTGATCCAGCAGGCCGGGTATACCCAGCTCTTCCAGGAAGTCCGCACTCCTGCTGCTTTGCAGTTGAAACATACTTAACATTCTCATAACTACAAGAGCACTACTAAAAACAACTCATGCACGTAGCATAACAGTATAGTCACGTTGCAAAGGATCACAACTTACACAATTAAAACAATTAACTTGTGTCTCAACAGCAAATAATTTCACCCATGAATTAGTCAGTGCCATCAAAATGAAACGTACAATCAGCATCATTTTAACCAGTCAAAAAGCTGATATATTGTCAGTATGTCAGTATAAATATGCTCCTGAGCTCCACAATTCTGAATGATAGTCATTTGCTGCCTTCTCATTGTCATTGACTGATCATTCTTCTTTAGCAAACTGATACTTATTTATGTCAGACACCAACAATTACACCATTACAAGGCTCTACATTACAGTATGTAAAGTTCACTGGTAAGAGAAAGCACTCAGATGCACATGTAACTTGTACAAGTTCTCTAGATATAGGATCATAGCAAACAAAAAAGTCACACAGTACAGTATAACAGAAAAACAGCAAAATGGAAAAACAAGGACAACAAGAAGTCAACAAAATCATGTACTGTGGGAACCAGAAACAACAATGCTGCATCACTGCAATTTATAGAATATATTTTTGCATGAGGTGAACTGTTTTGCATGATGTGGCTTACACGATGATCACATACAGTTATGTGAAAAAATTAGGACACCCATTAAATATTTAGTACTTGATTAAGAAATATCAACATATCAATATTGAATCTTGTTTCAAATTATATTTGTAGATGAAGGTGATTTAATTTCATGACCGATGAAAAAACAAGAAACAAATTCACTTGTTTCACAAAGGAAATTAACTAAGATGCCAATGCCTACTGAGGAAGAAGTTAGGACACCCTGTGCCCTAATAGCTAGTATTTCCCCCGTTGGCTGAAATAAGTTCAATGAGACGTTTCCTATAGCCATCTTTCAATCTCTGACATCGACTGGCAGAAAGTTTTCCCCACTCTCTAATGCAGAATTCCTTAAGCTGTGTGATGTTTGAGGGGTGTCTTGAATACACTTAGATTCTATGATGGTGAGCTGGCCAGGTTCTGCTGCAACAAAGCAGCCCCAAACCATGACATTTCCACCCCCATGCTTCACAGCTGGCAAATATGTCTTTGGTTTACACAAAACTGTCCTCTGTTACTATGTCCAGATAATTCAATTTTAGATTCATCTGTCCAAAGCACATTGCTCCAAATGTCCCAGTCTTTGCCTAGGTGGGTCTCTGGCAAACTTCAGTCTTGCCCTGGTATTTTTTTGACAGCAAATGTTTCCTCCTTGCACAGCTCCCATGTAGATGGTAGATGCATGTACCTTGACATCAACTGTGGCAAGACCTTCCTGTATGAACCGTGATGACATTTCAGGATTTTTGGAGACTTATTTCAGCATCTTGCAATCTGCTCTTGGGCTGAACTTGCTAGGACAGCCTGCCCTGGCCATACTGGCAATTTTAACATTTTAACATTTTTAAATGTTCTCCACTTGTAAATTATTCTCCGGACAGTGGAATGTCTTGAGATCTTTTTATATCCTTCCCAGACTCATATGCATCTACTTGTTTCTTTCTGAAGGCCTCAGAGAGCTCTTTGGATCTCACCATGGTGATCCCACTCATTTCAACAATCAAGAGCAAACCAAGCTAAATGTCTATGGTATAAATAAGACAGACTCCACCAAAAAGCTCTGTAATAATGTTCTAATTATTTTCACCTGATGTGGTGCCACCTGAATCTAACTCTAGGCATTTTAGATAATAATGGATATGAGGGTGTCCTAACTTTTTCGTAAGTGGAAATTGGCATCATAGTTAATTTCTTAATTGTTAAATAAGTGAATTTGTTTCTTTTTTTGCATAGGTGATACAGTTACATCATCTTTATCTACACATGATTTGAAAGAAGATTTAATAGTGATATGTTGATATTTCTTAATAAAGAACTAAACATTTAATGGGGTGTCCTAATTTTTTCACATGACTGTACATATATGGTTTTGGGTGTAATATTACTATAGGAAACAATCTGTTTGTCAGGGTCAGCTCCTGTTGTCCCAGTCTGTGTCCTTTTTCCCGTTGTCCCAGTCTGTGTCCTTTTTCCCGTTGTCCCAGTCTGTGTCCTTTTCCCCGTTGTCCTAGTCTATACTGCTTCCCTTGCTCCCCGTCGGCTGCATGGCTCAATGAGCTGAGCATGCAGCTATCTGTTAGCCCCTCTGTTGTGCTGTATGTTGGATATTGCTTAATGTAAGATGTATGTTCTGCCTGCCTGCCCCGACCCATTTGTAATTAGTCTTTGTTTATTCCCTGTTTACTTTTGACCCCTTGTGGTCCTTTATTTTTGTAGTGTTCCCAGTTTTTTCTGTTTTGTAAGTGTTACTTGTGTTTTCTGTTTTTTAAGTGTTTCTTGTGTTTTTTTAGTTCAATTAATAAACCCCGTTTTGTCCTGAGATCCACAAGGTGGTCGCCCACCTCCTTCCTACCTGCCTGCACCATGCCCCATCCATGCACCAGATCCACCCAGATCCTTGACCGAATGAACCACTGGGGAGCTAAACTCAGGCAGGAACTTACATTCTGTCAAGGACAGTAAAACTGTAACAAGGATGTAAAACTGTAACAACTTAAATGAGTGAATGAAAAGGGTTATTCTCACAAAGATATGGAACATGCCTTAGAGTTGATATATTTGTCAGACTACTTCAGGAATTCGTGGTCAATCTGGATATCCCAGGGCTTTGCTGTGTCTGTTTTTCACACAAAGCCATGTGTGATATCCGAGAGCTGGTGGTGTATCTTCTTTACATGTACCACTCTTGCTGTTGCAGTGCTGATGGGATGTATGAGGTGTCTTTCTACTCCAACGCCTTGGTCTCCTATGATGGCAGCGTCTTCTGGCTTCCGCCAGCCATTTACAAGAGTGCCTGCAAGATCGAGGTCAAACACTTCCCATTTGACCAGCAGAACTGCACAATGCGCTTCCGATCCTGGACCTATGACCGCACTGAGATAGACCTGGTGCTCAGGTCAGATGTGGCCAGCATGGATGACTTCACACCAAGCGGTGAGTGGGACATCATCGCCCTGCCAGGCCGGCGCAATGAGAATGCCGCCTACGTGGATATCACCTATGACTTCATCATTCGGCGTAAGCCCCTCTTCTACACCATCAACCTGATTATTCCCTGCGTGCTCATCACCTCGCTCGCCATCCTGGTCTTCTACCTGCCATCCGACTGTGGAGAGAAGATGACCCTCTGCATCTCTGTCCTCTTGGCCCTCACTGTCTTCCTGCTCCTCATCTCCAAGATCGTGCCACCCACCTCCCTGGATGTGCCACTGGTGGGCAAGTACCTGATGTTCACCATGGTGCTGGTGACCTTCTCCATTGTCACCAGCGTGTGTGTGCTCAATGTGCACCATCGCTCTCCCACCACTCACACCATGCCCCCCTGGGTGCGCCTCATCTTCCTGGACAAGCTACCGTCCTTGCTATTCATGCAGCAACCCCGCAGGACCTGCGAGCGGCTAAAACTTCGCCGGGCGCGGCGGGCCCAGGAGCAGGCGCGGCTGGGTACAGGGCCGCCTCCAGAGGACAGGGGCCTCGCTGCAGAGGACAGCGAGTCTTGCACTTGTTATGTCAACCAGGCCTCAGTAAAGCAGTTTGGTGGGGAGGCAGGGGCAGGCGGGCTGAATGGGCTCAGGCCAGGGGCAGACAGCATCTCCGTGGCCCCCAGTCCAGGGAAGCCGCTCCCCATTCTTGGGCACACACTGCTGACACGCGCCTGTCCTGGGTTGGACGAGGCGGTGGAGGGAGTGAGGTTCATCGCCAGTCACATGAAGAGTGAGGACGACGATCAGAGTGTAAGTTACTGCTTCTGTGTCTCCAGTTTCTCCTGTACCTCCCTTTTATGTCCCCTGTATTTATTATAATTCTGTGCTTTTCACCTCTTCTTCCGCTGATCCCCTTGCAGATCCTCCACCTCCTTATCTCTTCTATCCTTCATACTCATACTGTCTCTCTTTCCGTTTCTATCTCCTGTCCCTCTCTTACTTCTACTTACTGGCCTTTCATGCTTCCTCCTGTTCAAACCAGTCCTTACACAATCATGCTGTCGAAGAATTCACTCAATTCACTTTAGGATTCACTTCATGAAGTCCGACCAGGTAATCTGTCGTGTGATTGAGACTCCAACTATTCAAAATATTAGCCAGACTCAAGATCATAGAAAGAGCACAATAAAGATGTGCTCATACTTGTCTCAGTTGCCCTATCGAGTATGCAAGTCAGTGAATTTCATTTAATCGTGCTGCATGTATAAAGATTTTTTCAAATCTCCTCTACCAAATTTTTACCAAACTCATATTTTACCAAATATTTTTGAATTTTTATGTTGCATCCAGTTGTTCCTGTATACTCTATCAGCCCAAATTTCCAGAAAATGCCAATGAACAAAGCGATCCCTTTGCCAAAATGTTTGTTAAATTGTTGTCGCTATCTGATCCGTACAGCCTACCCAATCTGTTTCTTCTGGGTTCAGTTCATATAGTGTACATGTGTGCATGTGTGTGCCATTATTGACATCATCATTGAAGTCATGTCTGTGTTCCATAACCAGACATGGTTAGCGATCACACTATGCGTACTATGAGTCCAGTTGAACCATAACCAGGCCAACCACTTCAAGTGGGCCTGGGCATAATTCAGTGTACTGTGCCTCGGCGACTGAGCGATCACACTAGTCAAACAAACTAGACTTTGGGGGTCAAATGTGCTTGGGCATGGTACAGATCGCCTAGGGTAAGCACACCCTAAGGTAGCAGAATAGGTTGCAATGACCCTTCACACTCGCCTGTGATCTAGGCCCAAGAAGCACTGTTATATCATTGGTAAATCCTCAAATAATAACTCAGAGTGGTAGAATGATGGCTCACTGCTGCTTACACTTCTAGGGTTGGGGGCTCAATCAATCAATCAATCAATCAATCTATCTATCTATCTATCTATCTATCTATCTATCTATCTATCTATCATATATCTATCTATCTATCTATCTATCTATCTATCTATCATCTCTGTCTGTCTGTCCTTTGCAACCTGAGGGACTAATCCATCCATGTCCAGCCATAGCCTCGTACTTTGAATTCTATTTCATAAATATTAAAGAATGTTTTTTTTTTGTTAAATGTATTAATAGTTACAAATATAAAGGCACGTGCTCGATTTAGAGAGTACTACATCATGACCGTGAACAGTAACCTAGCATGCAATATCAGACTTTTACCAGACTTGTTAGTGTCTTGTGTTTGTAGTTTGTTTGCCTCTTGAAAAAAGAATATCACTATGGATCTACTAAAATATTCTAAAGCTTTTAATGTGGTTTGACTAGTTCATGTTTCTTGTTTGTTTGTCTCTCGGAAAAAAGAATCTCGCTCCAAATCTGCTAAAATATAAAGCAACAACACACAACACCAACATGTTCGTGGAGGCAATCATGTTTGTTCCGAGATGTGTAGCTTGAACGGGAGATTAGTCGGATATGATGTCACGCACCTCAGAATTTACGACTTTGGAGAGATAATCGAACATCCTGGCTGCTTCACAATCAGCTGCAAACTGCCTCAGTGCGAGACAACGCGAGTAATATGAAAAAAGCAAGGGATGATTTGGGAGTCGCTAGCCTTGTCACCCACTAATGACTGGCAATGAATGCAGCTACAGCCAATGAGAGCACAAGGCATGGAGTAAGGGGAAACCCAGGAGAGGAGTTGTACAACATAAGTAAGCTTACAGCAAAAGTCTGCTTGCAGTCTTCTCATGTGTGTTTTCATGACAAAACATAATTTGCAGACCAGACAACTTTGTTAGGGATTCCTCCTGGTGAAACATCATGTAATTTGTTATCCCCTGTCACTGATCAATCATGTAGTATGAAAACCACAATCTCTACAAGATTCTCAATTACAAGACATCAAGTTATGTAGTGTGAACAGTACAGTGATCTGACAACTTAGCATAAAGTGGCAATTTATTGTGTGGATGGAAATGGTTAATCTGTCCTGCTAATTTATCTGCTGCCAGCAGCAATCCCCCAGTTGACAAGTTTTACTGCTCTGTGAAATTTTTCCACAACGTAAACCAGTCCGTGGTGATCAATAGGTTGGCAACCCCAACCTCATGCTGTTTTGGATAAGCTCCAGCCCCCCCTGCAATCCTGACCACTATAATTGGTTAGGAATTGATTGGTCTGGAGACTATTGATTCAAAGTACAAGATTCCATAGTGGTAATATATAATATCATTCCATTGAGATTTAAGTTTATGTTTTGAGGGTGAGGAAATCATAGGGGAATTGAGGGCACCTAAATTATCTATCGTAGTGTTACATCATTGACCAAAGAGATCTGTTTGTTCATGGATTTCACCATGACCACTGTTATTGTCTGGCTTCTGAATATTGGAGTACAATCATGGATTCAGTTTTAATCCTCAGGTCATCCAAAATTTATTTAAAAGTATTAGGAAGGGAAGAGGGTTTTCCCAGAAATCACATGTTTTTGTAGTCTTTCTAAAGCAAATTCATAATTAATCTCTTGTATCTCAATTTTTGTAAAGGCTGCCCCAGAACAAGAGCAGATGTTTGGTCCAAGTCTATGTGGAGTTAGAGAGAACCACGAAAGCCAACTCTAATGAGAAACAGGCTGGAGCCAAGCAGCTCGATTGATGGCGTGAAAATAAATCCTGCATCCCGTCACACTGTAATTGACCAAGCGGGATTCCTGACCGTGCTATGAGCCATATGTCCTTCCAGACATCCATAGCTGTGTACTGAATGTCAAACAGAGAAATGCTAGCTGTCAGAAGATTGTTTATAGTGAATAGGCTAGTGACACAACTGAAACCCTAATTGATAAACAGCATTTTCCTATTTTGAATTGAGTTATTGTTGTACTGTAAATAATCATTAGCTTAAGCAGCTTGTATATGTTTAGCTCTGTTGGTGTATGAGTGGCCAGTGATCTTTTCCTGACCTCACCTCTCTGTAATTGCACACATCTCTGCATATTGACATTGTGTCTTACCTCTCCTGCCACCCACAGGTCAGTGAGGACTGGAAGTATGTTGCCATGGTCATCGACCGCCTTTTCCTCTGGATCTTTGTGTTCGTCTGCATCTTTGGCACCATTGGCATGTTCGTGCAGCCTCTCCTGCAGAACTACACTACCAAGACTCTCCCCCACTTGCCCGGCTGACCAATACAAGCCATGCCACACAGATGGACACAGCTAACGACCAATGCCGGTTGGAGTGGGGGGTGGAAGTTAGGACTCCTGTAGAACTGGACTGATGCAAAGGATTGTCATATTCAGATAATTTTGTTTGATGAAAACGTTAGTAAATTTGTATAAACTTTAGGAACTGTTTAGTTTTACTAATGAAAGTAGCGTGTTTCAAAATACCCCATACTTTAAGCTCCTTTTTTTTTTTTAAAAAAAAAAAAAAGAACACAAGCCAAACAGGAATACTGCTTACATGACATCAGAAAATCACTTCTCTCTATGCACACCTTTTAACAAAAACACCCTACTCTAATAGTTACCTACCTTCCTGTCTTGCTTGACTGACATCTATGCTAGCAAAAAAAGTGTAAGCAGCAAGATAAGCATCAATGGATTAGTGTAGTTTGGTGTATCAGTAGGACATTTCTGTTGTCATATCTATGTTTTTAGCAGTATGGGTATATTACAAATCAACAAAGCAGTGTCTGTACCAGACATACACTCACAGACGTCACATGGACATTGTTCACCTCAGTGGCATTGACACTAAAGTCAAACAGCCGACATTTGGCAGTTTGGTGTATTTTTTAACATCAGCATTTTGAACACATCTTCCTGTCACATATCAGAGGGCGTCTTAGCCCTTCTCATACTTTATTAGTCTCTACTGATTGCTGACTTGCTTTTCTGCTCTCACCATCTTTTGGCTCATTTTAGTCCACTCTGCTCTGCCAACTCACTCCTACTTTCTTCTCCATCCCCTCTTCCCTTCATATATCTCTCGTCCATTTCTGTCACTTAACACCTTTCCAGTCACCAATCCTGTTACTGATGGGCACTTCCATTTACTTCAGTTTCACAGTAATCCGTGTCATCATACACTTAAGCTTTTGTGTACATATTGACCATAATGTTTTTATGTGTTTCACATCAGCTAATACTGCTTTTATGTTCGTTTACAACAAATATCTGTTTCTGGATACTGATCTCTTCTCTATGTATGTCTTCAAATGTCAATATACACTGCAGTTATATCACATTTGTTTCTCTGTATCCGGATTTTCAATTCTGCACATTGCAGATCCATACTAATTTAATACCTGTTCATGCAAAGTTGATGCCTGTGGTCCACCTATGAAATTGGTCCATTGCCATTATGGAATATTTGCATATTAATGTTATGCTGCCCCAAAAAAGGAAGTTGGGAGCATGTATAAATAAAGATAAATTCAGTCAAAAAGATCAGAACAGTGTAATAAAGCAAGTTGGTTAAAATCCATGTTTATTCTAATAAGGAGGAACAGTTGGATAATTTCGTACAAGGCTATAACATTTTAAATAACCAGAAATGACCATGACAGATTTAGCAAAAAAACAATTGAATACTATTTTGATGGATCTCCAAACATTCCTGTTTCTTGTGCTAATGTGCTGATGCTACTCCAGTCGTGTTTCTAGCCAGCCTGAAGATTCAGATTTCGTAGGAATGGTGGGTGGGTCTTCTTTGGGAATGACTGGATTTGTGAGGCATCTTCCCCTACACTCTACTCCTCATTCCCCTAATATCACTTGCCAGAGGGGTGAGTCCTTGTGGAAACATGGTGCTTCTCTGCCTCCTTCTCGTAGTTTTCTGATTGACGTATTAAAGTGTAGCCCAGACGACCTATCCAGCCTCTCCTCCCCTCCAAGCCCCGCCCCTTCACTCCTTCTTTTCAGGCTTGTCCTGGAAGAAGTCGTTGCAGGCCACAGTGAGCGCGCCCACCAGGATGACGAATTCTGTGAAGTCCACCTCACCGTCATTGTTGGCGTCCAGGTCCTTCATCACTTTGTCCACTGCGTCCTTGTCCTGGGCATTCTGGGGATGGATGGGCAGAGCTGGGCTGTGAGTGTGCCAGTGAGTGATGAATGATGTGCATTGGTGCGTATTAGCATTAGCCTGTGTGCCCCATGTTAATACGCTTGTGTGTCTGTGAGGTCACTCACCCCCAGGTAGTTGCCCAGCTCCGCCGTGAGGAGCTCCTTCAGCTCTCCCCTGCTCAGGGTTAACTTGTCCCCCTCATTCCCTGAGTACTTGTGGAAAGTCTGGATCATCAGCTGCATTGCATTCTCCAGGCTGGTGGTGGGCTCTGTGCTGGACATGCTGGGCAGGAGTTTGGGAGGAACGATGCAGACAATACAATGAAAATCAAATGCAGCTATGGACACTCGCGGATGATCCTGTTATCGATGATCATGCAGCAAGTAAAAGTGGTGGCGTTGCTTACTGGGCCTGATCAAACCCTATCTGTAACTTACTGATGCCTGACCACACAGCTACTTAGCTAACCAAACTTAAATGATCAAGCATATTAACAATAAAATATTGTATTTCTTTTATTCTTCAACTATCCATAAAACATCTCCTTCTAGTCACAGGGACCTGTGCTAAAAAATACTACAGCTGGGTTTGAAATGCAGTCATCATGTAATAAATGAAGAAAAGCATCGTCTCTAATGGTGACATTTTTTGTGTGCACCAGGAAAAAAAACAGTATCCTCACTATCAAATGATTATGAAGAAGAGAACCAGAAATACAACTGTAGACACCTTTCATGTTTCACAACCTTGACACCACTGGATGTATGCTGTTGTCAATGTGTTAGTCGTTGTCATGGTAATCCCAAATTCACAACGCTTTGTTGTCCCTGCCAAGTTTCCTAGGAAGCTTTTAAGAGTTTTTTTTTAAATACTTTCTATTCCCAAACACACACAATGGAGAAAGAGGAATAGTACAGGCAAGACACTAACAGTATGCCACACAATGACAACAAGGGCAGCAAATAAACATAATACAACCTACTGCAATGCCCCTAAAGAATATTAAGGAACTGCACCAAGAATAATAAAAAAAACACAATCGTCACTTGTACCTTCTTTTAATAGTTTATATTTCATAGATTCGTATGAAAAATACATTAAGTGTAACCCAGGGATTAACTTCAAAACCAGTTAAAGGATTCTGTCATGTGTGTGTTCAGCTAAACACTTAAGCTTGGTTCATGGCTTTCAGCATGTCTCAGCTTTACTTTGACAGCTGTTGGTTTCTCTACCTCAGTATTAGAAAAAAACAGTAAGGAAAAGAAATAGAAATTCTTGCATCGGCAGAAAAGGTTAAAAGCCCGTGGAGGATGGGGACCGCTGCCCCCTCGAGTTCTTACCTGGTTGGTGAGGGAGCAATGCCTTTGTTTGTCGCAGAGAGAGCGAGAGAGAGAGAGAGAGAGGAAGACTGATGAAGGGGAGATTCTGTCTGTGGCTTAAATATCAACTCCCCCCCCACCTCGCCTCACCCTCCAAATCTCCATTACCATCCCCACTTGTCCTTTCCCCCTGGTCTACCTTTCTCCTTCTGGTGACGCAACAACCCAACTGAGACACACTGGGGGTCATGTATCAGGTGGGGGAATGTCCTGGGCATTTTCCTGCTCCTTCATTACCTCATTATTAGGCATGTGGCGATGTGACCCCGGCTCTGTCCACTGAAGCTGGGAAGGTGAAGCCAACACCATGGTGTTCTGGTTGGGCGAAGACTTTAGCTCTGGTGGAAGCATGCCAGGGCATTTTGTCTGCATTTGTGAGAACCAGTGTACCAGTGTTGTGGCCTACATAGAGCTACAGAGCTACCCTACAAACACTGGAACAGCTCTGCAGTGCAGCAGCCTACTAAATGGTACTCGACTACACTAAGGTGACCTTTACAGTGAGGATGTACACTTACAGATACACTACATGTATCTTTATCCTTGAATTCAGAACGATTAATTGCCACAGGTGTATTAAATCAAGCACTTAGTCATGCAGTCAGGTTTACAGACATTTGTGAAAGAATGGGTCACTCTGAAGAACTCTGAATTCAAGCGTGGTAATGTCAGAGGATACCACTCTTGCAATAATTCAGTTCATGAAATATCTTCCCAGCTAGATATTCCACAGTCAATTGTTAAGTGGTATTATTGAAAAGTGGTAGCATTTAGGGAACAACATAAACTCAGCCATGAAGTGGCAGAGCACATAAAGTAAGTGCAGGATTGCCAAGTGCTGAGGTGCATAGTGTGTAGAAGGTGCCAATTCTCTGTTGACTCAATAACAGAGTCCAAACTTCCTTTGACATTAACCCCAGCACAAAAACTGTGTGTTGGGAGCTTCATGGAATGGGCTTCCATGGTGGAGCATTTGCATGCAAGCCTCACATCACCAAGCACAGGCGTCAGGTGAAGTGATGCAAAGCTCACCACCACTGGACTCAGGAGCAGTAGAAATGTGTTCAATGGTGTGATGAGTCATGCTACTCTGTCTGGCAGTCTGATGGACGAGTCTGGGTTTGGCAGATGCCAGGAGAACAATACTGCACCTGGCTGACTGCATTGTGCCAACTGTAATGTTTGGTGGAGGAAGGATATTGGTATGGGGTTGTTTTTCAGGGGTTGGGCTACACGTCTTAGTTCCAGTGAAAGTAACTCTTAAAACTCAAGACATTTTGGACAATTATATGCTTCCAACTTTGTGGGAGCAGTTTGGGGAAGGCCCTTTTCTGTTCTATAATTGACTGTGCCCCAGTGCACAAAACAAGATCCATAAAGACATGGTTGGGTGACTTTGATATGGAAGAAACTGACTGGCCCACACAGAGCCATGACCTCAACCCAACAAACACTGTTAGGATAAACTATGGAGATTGTGAGGCAGGTCTTCATGTCCAGCATTAGAACCTGACCTCACAAATGCTCTTCAGGATGAGTGGGCAAAACTTCCCACACACTCCATAGACTTATAGAGAGCCTTCCCTGCTGTTATAGCTGCAAAGGGGGGACCAACTCCATATTGAGGTCTATGGTTTTAAAATTGGATGCCATAAAATTTCCTGTAGGTGTAAAGGTTAGGTGTCCCAATATTTTTGTCCATATAGTATATGTTCACTTGCAGGAACATGCTGAGAATGTGGTTGCCAAATGGGCAAGACAGAGATATTAAAAGCAGCAAGTGTTTAAAGAAACTAAAAAGCTTGTATACATTTACCTGTTTGAGAATCCCAGCTTGAGAAAGTGATGTGTTCCATACTGGGGCTAAGTGGAACATACCAGACTCGTTCTTCAGTGTCCTCCAGGACCTATGTTACTCAGATGAGCTCAGCTGGTCCATGTCAGCAATTCAGATTTGCTATTTCCTCACAACAACAATCATATTGTGTCATTAAATATGAGACCTTTGTAAGGTTCTGAGTAAGTGAAGCATCCTGATGCAGACCCACCATGCATCATCGGTGCAAACACAACCCTCCATAGTGTCACTCATACAGCATTATATTGCATGCAATCATACACAGGGATGCACAGCATACATACTGTATTATTATGCTCTTTAATGCATACAACGTTCTCTCTGGTGTAACCCTTATCCTTCCAACTGCTCATTCAGAACAGAACCACCATGGGCCTGGAGGCTATCCCAGGAGGGGTAGAGGACTCTATGGAAATGCGCCAGACCATCACAGTGCAAACACTCACATATGACCGCCAGTTCAGAAACCAATTTGCCTTAACACATTTATTTGGTCTTAGGGAAAACACCGAAGTAGCTGGAGGACACCCACAGAAACAGGGAGTAAATGCAAAGTACAGCTGTGGAATCAGGGCCCAAATGCTGTCGCCTATCCCAGGACGTGTGACATGTGCCAACCCAAAATTTCAGCTATCATTGCTTCAGATTCAAAGTAATATGACACAAATATCTGCCAATGCTGAGAGTCTTTTTTGTTAGAAAGCCTCACATGTACATATAGCAATTGCATATTTAATTTGCCATGCAGCCCTCTATTGGGTACGCAGCAGGAATATAGGCAGGTGCTGAATTAGCCCGTCCCACTAATCGAAGTGAAATTATAATTCTGTTTAATGAGCAGCATCATTAGTACACTTAAACAGGAAAATAAAGAAGGATAAAGTTATTTCAATTGTTTATTTCCCTGGCAGATGCTTTACAGCAACACAACTTAAAACGTCATTATTTTACATGTATCCATTTTCACAGGAAGCAGTCTGTGTGTGGTGCCTTTCACATACATGGGAGAAGCCCACCGTGTTTCCGGGATTTACACTGCCTAACGCTACCTCTACATACACAGTATTGTGATGAAGTGCCAGCAGGGGCATCGAGGCGTAAGGTGGGCACACCAGCCAGTGCAGTGGGGCTGTCCTGGTCACACACACCCCCACCACCCACGCCAGGCCTCCAGGTGTCCAGGGCACTAGCTTTCTGGTGTTCATTCCATCTCGCCTTTAAATAATTTACCCCCGTTCCTTACATGGATGGGATGTCATACACCTGATATTCCAAGTCTTTATCTGTTGCTAATTGAAAGGCATTTAAAAAGTGTGCAAAGAGTAGACTGTCGTGTAAATGTGTGCACAGGTACCGAACACTAATGCTGTCAGCATGTGGATGCAGCCACACGGGTATTAAATACTAGTGCTGCCAGGATGCTGCAGTATCCATACAAGTATTAAATACTAGTGCTGTCAGCATGCTGCAGTATCCATGCAAGTATTAAATACTAGTGCTGTCAGCATGCTGCAGCATCCGTACAGCTATTAAATACCAGTGCTGTCACCTGACGATGTAGCCATACAATTATCAAAAACTACAGCTGTCAGCATGTTAATGTACCTGTACAGGTGTTAAATGTTCATCCTTCCAGGAGTTGGGTAACATTGTGTGGTAAGGAGAGCTGGGTCGTGTCTCAGTATAATGTTCATAATAGAATAAGGGCATTACTGTAAAAATTACAGAATAGTTTAAAAAAAAAAAAAAAAGTGAGTTAAGAACATACAAGCATGCAAGTTTAAGTCATAGCAAAGAGATGGATTAAGCATATATTAATGTTATGCACAATGCTGTAGTGTATGTTTGCTAAATGGTTTGTGTTATGGTTAGAAAGGATTGCTAATTGTAGTGTCATAGTGAATATATGATGGCATATACTGTAGTGTTATATGAGTGCACTCGTATGATCGTAATTGGGGACAGTAGTGGCGTGTGCTTATGACCTGGCGATGTCACATGGTGTATGCTGGTGTGAATGGTGTGAAGGTGCAGTCACATGGTGTACATGGTGTGAGGGTGCGGTCACATGGTGTGAGGGTGCGGTCACATGGTGGGTGTGTATGGTGTGAGGGTGCAGTCACATGGAGTGTGCTAACAGAGTGTTATGCTGTGCATGGATAAAGCCAGTTGAGGGAATCTATGATGCTTCTTCTTGCTCTCCTTCTGCTGCTGGTGTCTCCTTGGTGGTGGTGCGTTGGTCGCTCAGATTGCTAGCAAGGTAGCCCACCAGGGTCAGGTATTCCTGGAAACCGACCTTGCCGTCTGCATCGCTATCCAGCCCTTGGCGCATCTCCTTAATGGCGTCCTTGCTGTCCGTGTCCTGAGAAGGGCAAAAGATGAGTTTTTGGCCTCAGTACAGCACCCTAATAGCTCCTGTCAATATCAGTACCAGATACACATAGACCAGGACTCCAGTTTTCAAATACACTGTCAACCAAATTCATTTTAAATTTTTTATGCCGTACTTGTTTTGATTTACAAACAAATTCAGCTCTATTAGGACTTCCGAGTTCATACTAGTTACCAAAAAACAGCTCCAGATTGTTTTGATACTCCTTGCTAATAAAATTCAGCCTTAGGATTTAGAATTCAATATAAAGAGTGGTCGCCAACACATTTTTTAAATAAGCTGTGATTCAGTGCTATCTAGTATGGATACAGTGCCACTGCATATAAAGCAAGCGTTCATTCCTCGCAGTGTGAATGGTGGTTTCTTCAGTGAATGGCAATGTTACCCCAGCAGTGGCAGTCTTCTTAAGCTTGCTTTTGATCACGATTTAGCACTAATAACATTCATTGAGCAGAAACTGCAGTCACCGTCATGATGTTGCTCAGCTTATTCTTCACAAGGTTCTGGAAGTCCTTCTCTCCCAGGCTGTCTTTGCCCTTGGCTGATTTTAGGTAGACGCTCACCAACGTCTTAATGGCGGATTCCATCTCTCTCTCTCTGTGTCCCAAAGGTGAAAAAGAGGGAATGAGGTGGGAGTGAGACCAATCTGTCACCTTGGATAACAGCACTAGTGTTGGGTAAAGTAAATCTGAATCAACACTGATGCTGATACCCCAGAATGTGCACATGTGAGGGGAGCTCTATTGGCAAATATATAAACAAACTTGCAGTATTAGAAGAAAGGTATAATGTGGGAGAGTAAATAATGTAAGCAGTGTGTCTGTAAGTGGCGGCGATGGGGGTGGGGGGGGGTTGGCTGGGTGTGATGTGAGAATGCTGCAGAGGGTGCGAGAGGAGAGCCTCCTGACAGAAATAGAGACATCGCCTGTTATACAGAATGCAAGGTCTGATCTTTGATAGGTTATTTGATCAGCTGGGGGTGTTCATGTTACTGCAGTATCTGCCACCAACCTGCCACTCTCCCGCAAACACAGTCAAACGGCCTCACACACACTCTGCACCACACCTAGATGTCACACAGGTTTTTAATCCAAAGAGACTCCTCATTCTTCTTTTCATTTTATTTTTTACATTTTTACACAAACCAGATTATAGAACTAAATATGTTAATAGGGAAAAAAAAAATCAAATTACCCATAGAACACTTCACTGCACTTGAACCAAAAACCTTCAGGTGAAAAGTGTGCATTCTAAGCACTCAAATATCATCCAGCTGAAAGGGAAGCCTTCATTCTAGCATGATTTCTCTGTGGAAACATTTCTATCCAACATTGCTAATTATGACGAGGGAGCTTTTTAATTACTGTTTTAACGGTCATTTGCTATCTTAACCGTCTGCTGTTGTTCCCAAGAACAAAATGTCACTGTGCCTTTGCTGATTGGCTAGATCAGGCTGATTTCGACAGTATTTGCTGAGAAAGTAGGCAGCCTATTTGTTAGAGAGGTGAGGCAGCCACCCAGTGAGGCAAGGCTGCACACAAATTCACAGGTACGCCCAATACCGGGTGTGACTCACTTCCTTATTAACAGTGTATTTGCCTGTCATATCTGGGCCTGTATTATCTGTCCTCTGTAGGTTTTTAAGTGAGCAGTAGTAGGATGTCTTGTCTATCTTATCGATGGACTAATTATCCATTACCACGCTAACAGCAAATAGCGTTTCAGCAGTCATATATCTCTGAGCCATCAGATAACTTGTCCCTATAACCGTTTCATCACTCTGACCAATAGATCACCAGCTCGTTCATTTGAAGTAAAAGAAAAAACAATATAGCAAATTGTTATATGAATAGACTGGCGGTGTCCATTTTCCTTCTACCTTTTAAGATACCCAGAGTTCGGTTACCGTGAGGAATGAATGTGATATGTACCCTACCGGAGCGAAAACAATACCGGCGCTCGTATACCATAAAACATTAACAGAGGAACAAGTTAGGCAGATATATTAACTGCACTAAATTGGTCTACATTTTTAATTCGGTTTTTTTCGAGAAGTTTCAAGGAAGGCGATACACGCAGCGGTGCACATAATATTGATCACTGTCAACAACACAAGGCTCGGTGCTTAATGCCAGAACGCGCTTCATGTCGGGCTGCTCCGAACAGAGGCCATTAAAAGGGTGTGTTATGGTGCGGTCTGTTACGGCATTGTATAGTGTTGGGCCAAGCAATATACACACGTTTATATATATCCCTTTTACACTGTACGCTATTATATTAACATAGGCCTATATAGACCCGTAATACATGATTACTACATAAGTCATATTTATGCTGCATATCTTTCTAAAATGCACTTTCGTTACAAAAGAAAAAAAACTTTCAAAAGCAGACAACAGCCTCCCGTGATTTGTCACAAATTACCAAACTTACGTTAACATAATCTTATTATTAGACGCAGTCCATAAACGTTTCGTTGCATCTTGATTTCATTCAGTAATGTATCTTAAACTTACGAATCGAGTTGCGTGTTCTTGATGGATTTTAGTAGAGGTTAGTTATATGACAGAAAAAAACTTACCCTATAAATATGACCGACAACGATCGGGAAAAACGATGCAATTTAAAATACTTTTAGAGCTACTTTCTGCCTTCCCTTCTCTCCCGTTTCCCTCCCTGGAATGGAGCAACTTGCCAGGCTAGACGCCCTTAGGAATTTCTTCCGCGATTTCGTTATTCCTCTAACTTTTCTCCGACAAGTCATAAGGGCGTGTACCTGGAAGAGTGAAAAGCAGAAGAAAATAAAATGACACACAGAGATCTTATCTTTTTTAACATGGGCCGCACAACCGCTTTGAAAATGTTGTCTTTATTGTGTGTATGATTACAAAGCCGATTGTTTAGGACAAGGGCCCGTAAAGTGTAGTTTTAAACTTTTGTTAAGTAAGTTGGAATGTTCAACGGGCTGATAGGACCCAACGGATAGAAGGCAAGGACTGTAAGGAGAGAGGCATGTCAATACAGGCTGCAGTGGGATAGGACAGACAGCTAACCCTTTCTTTTCCAAAAAAAAAAATAGAAAAAAGCTTTAGTCTGCACAATGCTTCTGAATTATGAAAAATTATAGTGCTGATGTCAGTGAGCTGGATTTCCATGCAATTCTCATGGTTTCGGAAGGTTTGTGAAATTATTCTTCCACCATAATGTATTTATCCAGAATTTATAACAAATCCCTCAGTGTTCATTTACTGGTTGTAAGGTGTGTGTTACACTGATACTGACATTATGTGACAGCATGCAGTCCTCTGTAAGAAGGAAGTGGGGGAGGGGACTAATTACTTAATACAGTGGTGCTGCGGTTCAGTTGTAATTGCAGTATTGGAAATTTTATGTTGACTTTATTTACATCTATCCTGCTATATAAAAGGATGAAATCCTAAGTTTTAATTTTGCTTTTAGGGTATATAAATGTGTGTAATGACAGAAGTTTTTGCCACATGGCAAACGCAACCTGCTGTCAAGCTCTCCTGGCTGGTGCCCTGTCAGTGTGTTCAGACCAGGGTTCAAGAGCAGTCGTCAGACATATCACACTGCACATTGCAGCTCTCAGCAGCTCCTCAGCATGGCTGTAAGGGACACGTCTGCTGACAAGAGCAGTGTGATTAAAACCCAAGTCCTGTATTTACCCAGGCCCAAATCTGCACACAGCTTAAGGGACTGACACATAAAACACTGCATCTTAATAAAAGACTTAATCTAAAAAATACTTACTAACCACCACAGTTTCTTTCTGTCAAGCATTTTCTCTATATGAGTGATTTATTATGGGTGGGTGTGGCAGTAATAAAGCAACTCTGTGTTTATGCTTCTTTAATTACAGGTTTTTTGTTATAAGCAATTTGGCCGTTGCAGTCTGACTAACGTGTCCTGTTGGGTGAAATTGTATTGAAATTTCAAGTAAACTAGCCTGTTTATAAGCTTGCCTTTGTTACTCTCACATACACTAATGTCAGAATAGTTATAGCTGGCTTCCACCCTTTGTTGCCTGAGACTGATGATAGCTTTTCCCTCACTGGGCTCAGACATTATCGTTTATAAAACAGCAAATTTCGTCGTAATGACTGAGGTACTGACCAAGTGGGCCGTTATTATTACTCCAGTTTCATGGTCTTTGCTGAGGGGACACATTTCACACTGGAACCCAACATGCCCAGAGGGGCCTGGGGTTGACACCTGTGCTCATAAGCCAATCTTAGACCTGAATAGCAGTGACAGGAAAAATTAAGCTTTCAAGCCTGTGGTGGACGGGGTTATTACACGCTGCCAAACTGCTTTAACTCCACTATCGATTCCAAATGGGAGGAAGCAGTCAGTGATTGACAGTGCATGATGTACTCATGCTGTGTTCCATTTACTTCAGATGTTGGAGCTGGGAATGACATCACACCCAAGTTAACCACATTCTAGTACAACTTGGAAAGCCATTTAGCAATATCAGGGACCTGTTTCAAAAAGCAGGATTTCTTGCTTAGCTGTATAATTTGTTGGATTTAAGGTACCTTAATGACCTTTATCTTTGTTCACTTATATTTAGCCCAGGCTACCTTAAATCCGACAAGTTATCCGGTTATGCAAGAAATCCTGCTTTCGGAAACATGCTGCATTTCCAGCCAGGTTCATTATTAGCCAATGTTAGCAATTTCAGTTGATAACAAGACATTGCACAGTATTTTGCATAAAAATATCACAACAACATGTCCACAGATAGCAGTTAGACAGTACAGTGAGTACGACTGATTTATTGAGCCACACATAAGACATTGGTGCTAATAAACAGTATATAACTACAGCTTTCATTTCTGTTGATAAAGGGTGCAGCCATCTTGAATTCTGAGGTTGGGGTTGCAGAGGTTTCTCTGACGTCCAAGTCAGAATTCCAACTTCAGTGGGCGTTCTAGTTGAAATTTCTGACTAGAAACTCAGAAATTCTGACTCCTGAGTTCAAATGGAACACAGCATCAGCCTCTGTGCTTTCTCAAGCTTGTGGTGGATTTGGTTATTACCTGCTGCCAATCACCAACTGCTTTAACTCCATTATTGATTACAGATGGCTGAAAGCAGTCAGTGATTGACAGTACATGCTGCACTCAGCTTCTGTGCCTTCCCAGGTTCTTTAATCACCCCTGAATGGTCTCCAGGCAGTGATAAGTTTTAGATGAAGTACATGTGCTGCGTTTAAGTTTAAGTTTAACTGAGCAAAGCCTCAGTTCACACTGGGCCAGGGAATAGGAATACAATGTTTCTCAGCTCGCTGCATAGTGAAGACTCAACTCACAGTGGCTGGAGGGGGGAGTGTCAGTCAAATATGCCGACTATGGGAGGGGGGATTCTACGTGAATTGTTGTATGATCATTTCTTATGACGAAAAGGGACAATTATTAAAATTTGAACCATGTTGTACCTGACCTGTAGTGCAAAGAGAAACTATTTATAGTGCAGTTCCAGCTAGCTTTGCTTTTCCACTGCAGAAGGGTCATCTTGGTAAAGGTGTTGCTGGATTTGGAGAGCGACAGTGATGTTTAACCAAAAACATGCTGATAACACTTTACCTGAGGGGACACAAATAATGTAGTATTATGCTGTTGTGTATTAATTAACCACAAATGAAGTGTTAGTTACAAACTGATGTCATGTTTGTTCATTGTTAATGAAATGTCATGCATCATTTATCCCAAGCAGTTGCTATATTTGTTACTATATCTGTTAATTCTGTAGTCTGTAGTCCTTGCAGGAACTTCTGAAGGAAATACTAAGGAACAAGAAATGAATAACACAAATTAAATACTGATATCATCTTATATCTTATACTTATAGCCACCAGGTTTGGTGCCAATGTGTTGGAGTTTACCCCATTGGATGAGAGGGTTCCCTCCCTTTGACTTCGTGTAGGAGGACGGATTCTGACAGTTCTCTGGGCGTAACCAAACACCATCCAGCCTTCTTGGAGGCCTTGGAGGGGGTGCTGGAAGACGCCCCTTCTGGGGACTCCATTATTCTACTGAGGCTTCCCTTAACGTAATCCAAGCGGTGATCAGTTATTAGGCTTCTGTGCTAAAAACATAAGACAATTACAAACGAGAGGAGGCCATTCGGCCATCAAGCTCATTCAGGGAGAACTTAACTAAAAGCTCAGAGTTGTTAAAATCTTATCTAGCTCTGATTTAAAAGAACCCAGGGTTTTAGCTTGCACTACACTAACAGGGAAGCTATTCCATACTCTAACTACACGCTGTGTAAAGAAGTGCTTTCTCAAATCTATTTTAAAATGTTCTACTAATTTCCACCTATATGGCCAAAGTTCTAGTATTTAATCTAATATTGAAGTAGCCATTTGGCTGAACAACATCCAGACCTGTTAGAATCTTATATACCTGGATCATGTCCTCCCTTAGTCTCCTTTGCTCGAGGCTGAACAGATTCATTTCAGCTAACCTCTCCTCATAAGACATTCCTCTAAGACCAGGAATCATTCTTTCATTCTTTCCAAGGCAGCAATGTCCTTTTTAAGGTATGGTGACCAAACCTGCACGCAATATTCTAGGTGGGGTCTTACCAAGGACTTGTATAATCTTAGCATCACCTCCCTTGACTTAAACTCCACACACCTAGAGATGTAACCCAGCATCCTATTGGCCTTTTTAATTGCTTCCCTACACTGGCAAGAATGGGACATGGAAGCATCAACATACATACCGAGGTCTTTCTCATAATCAGCTACCTTTATTTCAGTGGAACCCATAGAATATCTAATAATAATAATAATCCATACTATTGATCCCCGCGGGGAAATTGTCTTTATGCCTCCCTCAACTTGCTCTTTTTGTAGTAAGTTGTCTCTTCTGTACTTTATATTTCTGCTCCCTACATGGATTACCTTACATTTATCTACGTTAAATCTCATCTGCCAGCCCAGTCGCTATTAAAATCAAGATTCCATTGTAGCTGCTGTGCTGCTAGTTCAGTATCTGCTACACCACCCACCTTGGTGTCATCTGCAGATTTACCCAGTTTACTGTATGTATTGGTGTCAATATCATTAATGTAAATTAGGAACAATAGTGTTCCTAAAATTAAACCCTGCGTTACCCCACTATGAATGCAGGCCCACTGTGACATTGTGCCTCTAATAACTACCCGCTACTTCCTGTCTGTTAACGATCCAAGCTGTTACAATTCCTTGCAGATTTGAGCTTAAGCAAGAGGTGTTGGTGGGGGACAGCATCAAATCACAGTTTGCTCATAACAAACACCATGCTCAAATATAAGGGTGTTCATAAGTGCACTTGGCACCAGAACACCTTAGGCTACAGTTCAATGATTAGTTTTTTTATTGTATCATCGGATCTGCATCCATATGTTTTGGACACTTGGGTTAAAAGAGGAGCGGAGCTGTCAACTGATCACCACCTGATGGTAAGTTGGATCTGATGGAGGGGGAAAATTCTGGATAGACATGATAGGACCCAAAAGCATAGTGAGAGTGTGCTGGGAGCATCTGGCAGAGCCCCTTATCCGGGAGATCTTCAACTCACACCTCCGAAAGAACTTCTCTTCAACCATGAGGGAGTCTAACTCTGAGGCGGCGGTGAGCAGTTATGGTGGTAAGGTTCTGGGTGCTAATCACGGTGGCAAGCCCTGAACCTGGTGGTGGATACCAGTGGTAAAAGGAGCTGTCTGGCTG